CCCCCCCCCCCCCCCCCTGCGCACCTCCCGTCCTCCGCCGCTGCCCCCCACGCTTGCTTATCCTCCTCACTGCACCAACCCGGCCGACAATCCGTATAATACATCACATACATCACACGCGAAAAACGGAACATCCATCGCATGTCTACGACGGCCGATCAGTCGGGGTCGTGTGGTCGCGGCGTAGACGACAAGACCGGGACGTGGACCAGTTCATCGAGAGCTTTCAGCACATGTACGACGAGGGGAAGCGGCAGGGGGGGTCGGCAGCCGGGGGGGCGGNGGGGGGGGGGGGGGGGGGGGGGGGGGGGGGGGGGGGGGGGGGGGGGGGGGGGGGGGGGGGGGGGGGGCGGGGGGGTTGGTGGGAGGCATTACCGTGGAAGGGAACTCCGAGATCGTCCGGCGGTACGACCCAAAAGCCATGGTATTCGTCGGTAAGCGGTTTCTAGAAAAGCGCCCGCAGCCGCTGGAGCTCCCAACACTTGGTACCGTTATCGATTAACGTGACCAAAGGCTTGGTGTCGCTTTATCCCCCCTCCCCAATGTTTTTTTTCCACTGGTATCGGTGTACCCGGGACTGCTGTAAGTGGTTGCCGCTCTGTTTCCAAATTACCCTTCTGCTGCTGCTGCTGCAGGACGCAGGTCTATCGATCCTTACGTCCGGATGTAGACTTTTACGTGTCAAGGTTGCTTAGTAAACTACATGCGGGAAGCTGTTGATCCTCCCGACCGCATGGTGTTCTGGAAGGACACGTTAGAGGTTGGGGTATTCTTAAAACTTTGTGGTCTGTACGTCAAGCGAAGCGATGAAGCGTAGACCTGTCAGGCTATGCCTTACAACTACGCGTCGACAGGTGCGTGCAGCTCACAGCGGCTTGGGAAATGGGGTATCTAGCATGGCAGCAGTGCACAAGTTCAACCTCCCACGGGCGACATCATCTTTGCCCTCGGCGTTATCTGACACCCTCTCTGTCTCCGACGCCCTCAAGCCGTCGAGAACCTCTCCATTGCTGCCTTCTTGAGGGAGGGGTGCACGACGCTTGTAGCGGCTTTCCGTGATTTATCCACCTCGTCTCTTCCTGCGCGGGCGCTGTCTGCGTGTGTGATAAGCAAACCCCCCCCCCTCC